GTGAAGTCACCTTTACCTGCCAGTCCAATGTACTAAATACATTTGGTTGAATTGACTCAATATAATTTGTTACCCTAACTAGGTTAACGGCTTGGTACAACTTACCCATATACCAACAATAAAAATAAGATCTTGAAATATTTGGAGTAAAAATATTCTTTTCAAGCAATTTTCTTATAATCTTTAAGAAACAGGAAATTCTTTGACGCATTACTAGTATAATACCAGTGGTAATATTCCAGAAAATTGAACCTTCACCTCGCTAGAGAGATAATGTTTTTAGTGTGTTCCACCAACTTCATGTAAGTCAACAGAGGCGAGATTTAAGAACATCACGTGATCCACACCGCCTTTGCCGCGATCGGTACATACTATGCAACCAGTAATGCACGGCAAATTTTTTTAATCGTTTTAACAAAGTGCTTAAGGTTGAAGTATCTCTTATTTTACAAAAAAACATATTTAGTAAACTGAACCATACAGCGGGTTGGTTTCACTAAAGTTTTCTGAGTTAATTTAAGCAATTTAAAAAAATAAAATAACTATCTGGTTTAGTACCGTCAAACTAATCTTTGTTTATATTAACCTTCCCACAGTTGATTTAAATAAATATGGGTCACCTAAATTAATATAAACTGCGCACCACTCAATGTGTCGCGACCAAAAAGTTCGTTCTTTTTCAAAACGACATAACTTTTTTGTTTCTTGAAAGATTTTATTTTGGTTTGTGATGTCTACTAGCCTCATTCTCTGGCAATTTATGTTATAGATATGAATCTCACGGTTGGTCAAGTAAATTTCCTACAGGGTGATATGTTAAACAGTGAAAATTTTCAATAACTTTATCCAAGCCCCGTTTGTAATAAAATAATTTTTTTTTCGTTTTTACTTTGAAATAATGAAGTATTATGTGTTACCTTGAAACCTTTTTCAAATTTTTCGAATTGGAATCATAGCAACGAAAATATGATTTTTTTTCAAAAGAGTACATTTAAGGCTTTTTTTAAGGCAATACACTCAGTCTTTTTAGGAACAAGAAGATAAGATGGTGAAAGATTGTTCCTTAAATCATTCTGAAAAAGCGACAAGCAACAAACTTCCATTATTTTTAGAGGGCCTCAGCTAAGACCACTTTTTGAAAATGACATTTTTGTGAGAGTTTGCAAAAACTAAACCTAAACCGATATTTACTTTCGTAATATGTTTTCTTCATAATTTTGACCTCCTGATTGTGATTCAGTTGTCAAATTTAAGTCTCAGATAAAACCAAAATCACTAAGAATCAAGATTCGAAAACAATTCCTGGCTGTTAAATGTGTCAATAAAATCCGATTGCTGGTTTTTACTGTTTTTTTACATATCGTAAATGAGTATTTAAGGGACCACCATATTGAGAAAATGAATTGGCCACCTTTGTCTCCGGATATGAATACCATTGAACATGTGTCGAGCAGGATAAAATTGAAGATGAAAGAGAGGGAAGGAGGCATACAAAATTTGGATGAATTGGTAAATGCTATTCAGGAAGAATGGGGTACCCCAGAAATTTCTAAGGAACTTGGTCGAGGAATGCCCAGGAGGGTTAACGAATTATTACGGCTTAGGGGAGGGCCAACGAAATATTGAAAGGTATTATTGTTATTGTTTGTTACATTTTTCTGTTAAATGTTGAAGTTTTGATTATGATTATATCTACGCATACAATTTTCAAAAATGAACAAAAATTTTTGTATTTAACTTTATTACCAATTAGGTACTTATTAATGATGTTATCACTACTGCGCAATGTAAATGTATGTTATGTAACATTATCCTAACCACTCAAACAAATTGCAGTAATTTCTCCCAAAAAATGAATCCCCAAATGGCATTTTCATCATAAATATGCAAGAAACGCGACAGCAATCGGATTTTATTAAGACATTTAACAACAGGGAATTGTTTTAGAATTTTGATTCTTGATGATTTTGGTTTTATCTAAAACCTAAATTTGACAACTGAATCACAATCAGGAGGTCAAAATTATAAAGAAAACATCTCTCGAACGTAAATATCGGTTCAGGTTTAGTTTTCGCAAATTTTCACCAAAATGTCATTTTGAAAAAGTGGTCTTAGGCCCCTCTGAAAATAATGGAAGTTTGTTGCTTGTCACTTGTTCAGAATTATTCAAGGAACAATCTTTTACCATCTTATTTTCTTGTTCTTAAAAAGACTGAGTATATTCCCTACCAAAAAGTCTTAAATGTACTCTTTTGGAAAAAAATTCATATTTTCGTTGCTAAGAAACCAATTCGAAAAATTTGAAAAACGTTTCAAGGTAACACATAATACTTCATTATTTCAAAGTAAAAACGAAAAAAAAATTATTGTTTTACAAACGGGGCTTGGATGAAATTATTGAAATTTTTCACCGTTTTACATATCACCCTGTAGAAAATTTACTTGAAGAACCGTGTGTTTAATATCTATAGAATGAATTGCCAGAGGATGGGGTTAGCAGACATCACAGACTAAAATAAAATCGTTCAAGAAACAAAAAAGTTATGTCGTTTTAAAAAAGGACGAACTTTTTGGTCGCGACACATTGAGTGGTGCGCAGTTTAGTTAAATTAAACATTCCTTTTTTCTGTGTAGGTATTTAATTGATTTTTTTAACATATGAAATAGTTTACTGCATTTCTGTGTTGAATTAAGATACAAAATGTCCATAGCTTTACCATATCACAAGAAAACGCATTTTGAATTTTTTGGTAGTTACTGGCTTTTTCCATAGTAGGGCAGTATACTCTTTTAAATGAAACAGTGTGTCCCCGAATTGACTTTGAAATAGATGCAATATACCAACGAAAACCTATTTAAATAGTGCCCCACCTAAATTACTACATAATTTCACCATTCTCCTGATAATATCAGTAATTTTGTTTTTCAATCTTTCCAAATTATTCTTAAAGCTTATAAAGACAACTTGCCTTTATAAACTTGTTGTTTTAGCTTGCCTCAGAAGTAAAAATCCATAATCATTAGATCCAGACTTCTTGGTGGCCAAAATCTACAAATCCATATTCCCCAAATGTATTATTCAAATATTACCTCATTAAAGAGGAGTGTTAGTTTTTGTCTTCTAGCCAAATATATTTCATCAAAGTAGTTTTGTGAATAATTCTGCAGTATCTCCAAATACACATTTTGATATGAATTTCCATTCAAAAAATTGAATTTTAATTGAAAACCCATTTACTTATAGTCCTTTAATCTTTGAATATTAATCCGCTGCTATATATCCGTATAAGATAATAAATTTATATAGCTACGGTCTTAAGCGATTCGCTTATGCAGCTTGGTAAAATAGGATTAAAGCGTTTACATACGTGTACGTGATCTAATAGATTCTAACCTAAAATATGGAATTATTTTCTGGGGAAATTCTTCTCACATAGGTAATCTATTTATTTTCCAAAAGAAATGTTTAAGGTGTATTTTTAAATTAAATTATACTGAATCGTGTAGGTCTACATTTATTAATAATAAATTGTTAACTTTACCAGATATTTATATTTTTGAAGTTATCTTATTTTATAAAAAGCATTTTGCACTGTTTGCAGAAAATGATCGAAAGCATAGCCACCATACAAGATATAAAAGCTTAGTGTTAACTCAACAAACTAAAATTCACACTATCTACAATGGTATACAAAATTTTGTTTTAAAAATATTTAATAAACTACCGGAAAATTTAAAATCCCTTAATCTAAAAAAAATGAAGCCTGCCCTAAAGGCATATCTTGTAAATAAGTGTGATTATAGTGTTGACGAATTTTTTATGTAATAAATATTTATAGCATATGTGTGTACGTGGCCTACTTTTTATTGTAATTTATTTAGTTTCTTGCATTTAGGTATCTAAATTGTTATTAATGTATTTTTTGTGACGTGTTCTACATTGTATTTACAATTTTTTTGAACCAATAAACTTATTCTTATTTTTATTCTTATAACGAGATGTTCATAAATTTGCTCACAAAGATTTAGTAAACTATATTAAAACAACAGGTCTCCACGAAAATATTTTTTATTAAATTCAAATATACAAATAGTCGAATAATTCGACTCGAATTTATGAAAGATCATGAAAAATAATTCCGTTAATCCTTTTTTCATTGAAGCATTCGTGTCACGTGTATTTGTCGTGATTATCGTCCTTATCATTTCGTCCTTTCCTTTATACGGACAAAAAGATCACTTTGAACCAAAATTCTCTTTGTTATATCTCTACCATTTAGATGCCTGAAGTAAAAGAATACAGTTTTTGTATAATTAAATAAAGATTTGAATCATTACGAACTATGGGGTCCTTATCTAATATTAGTAGAACAAGTTTGTTTCTGATAGTACAGACTCTGTACTGTACTACAGAGACCATAACTTCAACGTTTCATTTAAGACCATAACTTCAACGTTTCATTTAACTTTGCACTCAAGGTAATGACAAAGATATCGTAACCACACGTAGTTTCGATGTCAAAAATTCATTCTTGCTGCATCTACTATGTTCACTGTATTTAAGAAAGGTTACAAAACACCCTGTACGTCTGTAGAAATCTTAATTAAATCCTTATGGTGAGCATAACACTCAAGAAAAGTTAACAAACTAATTGTAATCTGCAGCACCAAACATCTGTTAAAAGACCTTAGGCAACTAGTCCCACATTATCATGACACAAGTGCCGTAAAGCCATAACTGTCAATGTGTATACAGTGCTTGCAAATCCAAGTCCGACCACACAGGAAAGGACGGCTGTTCAATACCCGCGTGAAAAGAACAAGGATAGAACGCCAAATAGAATTTGATTGGCCAGCCGGCAGGCTACGACAACGCATACCCATCACTTGGTGTCATAGAAACATGTACGATAATGTGTGTTTTAAAGGTGGAAGTAAAAAAAATTAATAAAAGTAACAAGATACATTAAGTATAATTATATTAATTTACAAAAGAAACCTTAAAATTTCAATTCTTTTCTGAAGAGAAAATCTTTATTCATCTGTTCAACCCTTCTTGATATGTCTAGCTTGGCGGCAGCATCTGTTCTAATCCTTTTAGCAAACTCTGGATATTTCTTTAAAAAACCATAAAAATAAACTTTATCCAAATAATAAATTTCGCTTATTTCCAGGGCTATGACAGTTGCGGTTCTTTTTTGCGATTTGGACATCAGCGCAATCTCCCCAAAATAAGAACCTTCGTCCAAATGACAAAGTTCAATGCCGGATGACGTACAAACGCTAACAGTTCCATGTGCCAAAATGTAAAAGGTGGTGCCAACTTGCTCGCTTTGTATGACCACGTCGTTCGGGAAGTAGACATCGGATTTGCAAAACTCTATAAATCTACAGGCGTCCTCTATGGAAAGCAAGGCGAGTATCGGGGTTTTTGAGATCAGGTTTTTGTAGGAATACACGCTCAGCTGTTTGTTCAGGTTTTCCGAGAGCAGCGTTTTAATTTTCATTTCGTTGTAGAACTTCGATTGAAACTTGTAGCTGTAGCAGCTGCGCAATTTCGCTCTCAACTCCTGGGGTAGCTGCTTGTTGTGCATGTAATGTTCCAGTTGCTCCAATACCTCCACGTACTTCTTATCCACTTGAAATCTGTTGCCTACGTATAACAGCACGAGTATGGTGTATATTGCTATCAACAGATATCCTAGCACGTACAAAAATAAAGTGAAGCAAAACTCCTCGTGTACCCACATGTAGTAGTTGTTGTATATGTTAACGGCCAAGAACATACTTGAAATACGGAGAAAAGTGGATCGATATTTTCCGGCTGTAGTTAAGTTGAAAACATTGTTTATCATAATCCACGATTTTCTATCGTATTCTCCGTATTCATTTCTTCTGAAATTGGGAAGCATTAACTGGACGCACACAGCCCAGTGTTTGAGGATCAAAAATAAGTAAATTGGCATTATGATCCACCTCAACGCAATGCGCCTTTGGCTGGCGTATCTGTCAACGTACTTCAGCACTGGGTGCAGTTTAATCAGCCTCGAACAAGACAAAAGTCCCACCAGGCCGTAAACCCACGGTTGGCAACCGTGCAAATCACAGAACAACAACGTTGGCGCGGCACAAAGAGCATCGCATATAAAATGAAGTTTAATGTAATTTAGGAATACTTCATTGTGCTTCAAGTGAATTCTACCATTCGAGATGTATCCGCTGAAAAAGTTAAGGATAATATCCACATACGTAAGAAAATTATCGATCCAGTACAGCAACCATATAAAGTAGTATGGGTTGTTGGGCGTGTTCAATGCGAGATGAAAAGGCTTCACAATGAAACTCACGGAAAACCAAAAAAAGGCGTACGTGTCGTAGAAATAACGAAATCTGCTTAACGGGTGGATTATGTACCAGTAATTCGAGTTGTAATGGGTTAGTTTTTCGTTATATATTGCTTCGTAACCCATGAAATATTCCATACATCTTACATGATCTGCGGACAATGTTGTGAACTGAAATACCAAATCCCATTTCCCTTTTTTAGCGGGGAAGTCTTTGGGGGGTAACGTGCAAATATTGTGCATCACTTTTTTGAAATATGCATGTCAATAATTTTATTTATGTTTGACATAACCATAGAAAAATAATATAAACGTAACTGGTATCATGGTTGTGCATCTTTACTGTACAAAAACTTGTCCCCTGAATAGTTTAGGCTACGCTTGCCAGAGGCGCTAATGTCGCCAAAGTTGTTTTAGTCAAAAAAAAAAATTCGATAAATACATGTTGGGGAAATTAATCTATCAAGTTATCCTCTATTTTCGAGACTAATACCTACGCAAGCGAAAATTCAGTTTCTTGGCTTCTGCAAACAGAAATCAAACAATGGACCGGTTGGCGTTGGATATCACAGCCTGCTCCGTAAACTTTGTTACCTACAAAGTGCTTTAAACGACGACGAAATTCAATTTTAACGCCAACAATCGACGCTTTCTACATTGCATTAGCAATTCATAAAAGCTTTTTGTGCAGATTTCATTTTAGCACCAACATTCTTAATTATGTACCTGTTAAAAACGCTGGAGTGGTCTGAGATTCGAGAAAATACCAAATTTGAAGTTTACATTTGCTAAAGAAGTCCTTTTTTAAATAAAATAATTAAGTCTTACTTGACAAATTGACAAATTTTGTCCCAAAGTTTCAATTGCGCGTTATTTGTGTTTCGCGTTGCAAGTAAAAACTAAAAAACTTTGGTTTAGTATTCGATTTCTATTATTCCTTATATCATTGATTAAGAAACTCAACGCTTATGTGCTTATATAGTTACGTTAGTGTGTGTGTTTGACAGTGATGTAATGTATCGAGATACATGTATCTAGATACTGGATCTAGATACATTTTATGTACCTAGATACGTATCGAGATACTTAAAAAAATCAGGATCTACTTTAGTATCTAGATCCTTTTGAAAGTATCTAGATCCTTAGATACAAGATACATTTTATTTTACCCAACCTGATTGCAACTCCACACCGTGTGGGCCACACGGAAAATGAACATCCAATGGATATACTCTATGGATATCCAGGATATATACCTACATTGGATATAATAAACAATACAAATAATAAAAAGATATTTCTTTTTCCCTTCAAACCACTTTGGAGTGCGAAGTGCATAAAGTAACTCTTAGGCACTAGTGAGTAAAGTTAAACAAAAGCGCTGTAGGTTACCTATAGTTGACTTTGAAGGCATTTTTCTTCGTTCTGATAATTTTGAATTTGTACTACAAATTTTGTAGTAAGCTTTCATATGGCGCGTAAATATAAAATTTATTTCCGTTTTTCAATTTTATCAAAACAGTTTTATTTTATAGTTAACACGCTTGTTTATAAGGTGCAAAAAAATTTTTTTTGTCATTTAATTTTTAAGTTTTTTTAACATAGTATCTGAAGTAACTTGGATACTTTTTGAATGTATCTGTATCTGTACCCAGATACTTTTGGGAAAATGTATCGGTATCTGTACCCAGATACATCTACCAGAGAGTATCTGTATCGGTACCTAGATACTGAAAAAAATGTATCGGTTACATCACTGGTGTTTGATAGAAGTGATTATTGTAAATGTAATTCAAAAATTAAATCATTTTATTTTCTTGTTTTGTCAAAGGATCCAATTCGGTAGATATATTTGTTGGTGCAGAATTAACCAATGATAACAATGGCATAATATATATAATAATATTATATATAATACATAATACAATACTTCTATAGCGTTTATTTTATAAGAAGTAGATAATGTTCAAGCATTTATTAAGGTAACTTCCCTCAACGGTTCAAGGATTTGTGTGTAAAATCCTTCTTCTTCTTCTTCTTCAATCTGAACACAGATGCACTGTGTTCAGGGGTAATGGCCTTTAATTTCATTAAAAGCTATTTGGCCAGCTCATTATGTTTTTTGAAAATTTTATATGATCAAGGGTCTCTAAGAGAATCTGAGTACAACTCATCCCTTGAATCATTTATTTTAAAATATTATTGTTCATAGTTCATTTAAATATTATTTTATGCACGATGACATTATAATATGACAATTATAACAAAAATTCTTTGACGTAAACGTCTTTTTATAGCCCGCGGGCGTTATTATGACCCAGCGGGCTATAATGAAATGTCAAAAATTAAAAACAACAATGTTACACCATTTGATATACTCGAAGTAAGTTTTTTCGTATAAAGATTTTGATTTTTCCGGCAGCAGGCAGCAATTTTTCGCCTTTTCAGCTGCTTCCTCAATTTCATTCATCTTTAAACTTTAAAACTGACTGTTGTCAGTTGACATTATAATATGACAATTATAACAAAAATTCTTTGACGTAAACGTCTTTAAAAACAATAATATATTAAAAATAATAATATATTAATCGTGCATAAAGTTTTGTATGCATTGCTGGCATAACTGGTTTTTATGGTCCTACGACTAGTGATGGGCGTTCCGGGTCACTCTTTTGAACCGGATCACTAGATCTGGATCACATAAGTGAACCGGTTCAACGAACCGGTTCAAAAGAACCATTTGAATCTCAAACTAATTAAACATAACACTTAATGAAATCATTCTGAGCACATAAACTTTAAGTTTATGTTAAAAATGTTTATCACTTTAATACTTAAGAGCCTTTATTAAATTATAAGGCAATACAAATTGTTATTTTAATAATATTATAAAGGCTATTAAATATTACATTGTATTTTATTAAAGTTTTGTTATACCATACTATTTATTTTATTAAAATTTTATAAAACAATAAAAACTTTATTATTTTAATATTTTACATGAAAAGTTATATTTAAAACATAAATGTTGTAAGTTTACACAATTTAAATTAATTAATATTAAAAATATATTTTAAACGACATTGTCATAAGGGAAATCATCTCATATTTCTGTGGGTTTGTAAAAAATTACCAAAAGTATAAATTTGCCTAACGTAGTAACGCGCCACAGAACGCAAGAAGTTCGGTTCCGAACGATGCGACCGGCACACTGTGGGCCCAATGCCCAAACTAGGTTGCATTAATTCAATTTTTTTTCTATTTACTTAAAACTTTAAAAATAATTAAACTTTGAGACTAAGCAATGCTGGTAATTAATTATATAATTTATTTTTTCATTTTCCAGTGTTGCTACATTAGTATTTTTGGAAATTAATTTATAAAATACAGGGTTATCTTACACTAGTGTAACAAACCATACCAACGTTATCTACGGATCAAAATAAGTCGATTTAACCCAAATTACCTATATACTAAGTTGCTTCGTTTAGTCGTTAGAGGTCTTTAAAGTTTTGAAAAATAACTATTTTTTTTAATATCTTAATAACGTATTAATGTATTTTTAATATTTTTGGAATATAAGTTTTAACTGCCAATTAGCGTCGTTTGGTGCTACACTCAGTTATAATTAAAAATTAGAATAATCAGAAAAGCAAGGTTAGGTACTAATTTTCGCTTGTATTTTTTTTACTGTTGATATAATGGTTTACTAGGAAATAGAAAGCTTACTTTGTTTAAAAACTTTTTTGTCTCTTGTAAAAGTTCGATGAGCGGTTTAGCCAGAAAAAAATATTTTGTAATGTCTGCATACCTACTATCGATATATCGCGATAGTTACTATGTTTTATCCCGAAAATTGAACATTATAAATCTAGAGATTCCTTTTCTGAAAATAGGTCAATTTGACTCAACGCAGTTGCTTCGTTTAGCAGATAAAAAGTGAAATACAGAGTGTTGGTAATAGGTAAATGGGTATAAAGAGGAAGGTTTTCGCATATTTTTTCGGTCACTTCCGGTTTCACCGGAAATGGGTCCAGGTTCAAAAAATTAAATAGAAACCCCTTTATATATTTACATTCTCGGATTCTTAACATAATTCTGGACTTAAATGTGATTTTTTAATGCCTTTTGAGCAATTTTTAACAATGCATCTAGGCCACCTTAATGTAATATTAAAAACGGATAAAAAGAAAAAGTAGGCGTAAACCGGCGTAAACACTTTTAACAAATATTAAACGCCATGTATATAATTTGCTCATTGTCCAAGCAATACATGCGATAAACAACTTAAGATTCATATTAATTGTTAATATTTTCTTTTCTCAGAGGTTTACATTTTTGGCTGGGATAAGTTTCGCGATTTTTTGCGATTTTTTTGGTTAACAGTTTTTAGTAGTCTACATATTTGTCTAATAAAAAATATATATTTTGGCTTGGCATTCGTTGGCCTTCCTATTTTTTTACTCTGCAAAACTATAAAATTAAATATTCATGTTAATTACCTTATCAGTTCTTGCCAAAAACAAAAAAAAAACACGAATTTTCCATAATTTTATGTACCCAACACAACTAATTGACAGGTCTAATGTCAGTTATGAAATGTTTAAGGCGACTTTTGCTTTTCACGGCCCTCTAAGCTATAAAAAAAATCGCAAAAATCGTAGTTTTAATTAAAACGATTGTCTTAAAAATATACTTTCATTTAAAGATCTGACATTGGGCATTTATAAAAAAGTCTTCGTAGAGTATTTTCAAAAAGCAATTATGTTTTTACAAGTTTGAATATGTTTTTAATAAAACAATAGTGGCAAATTATATATTTTCAATAATGACTTATTGCAACCTAGTTTGGGCATAGGGCCCACAGTGCGGCATAGGCACTAGCGAGCTGCATGATACAACAGTCATGATCGAGCCGCGCCTAAAGAATCGAGATGTTTTGGTCAGATCTGGATCACAGAAAACAAAACGTACTGCGAGCGCGAGTCGTTCTTAGCTCCAGGGAGCCGGTTCAGATCTCTCGCGACCCGCCGCTCACGGCTCGAGCGGCTCGCCATGCGCGGCCTGTTCAATGCATAGCGAGTCACTCGCTGCGAGTGGTGAAGCAGTAAATCGGAGCTTAGAACGGCTTGCGCGCGGCCGCTTTGTAATTTCGGACCCGTGAGCCGGTTCGTTTAATTTTCGTGAACCGGTTCACGTACTGTCTGTCCACTCTAAGTTGGCTGAACTAAGGAATTTTGTTGTTTAGATATTAAAGAATTGTCGTACTGTGTGCTTTTAAAACAGATTTTATATTATAAATAATACTAGT